CGATCCCATGCCATTTTATATCCCAAAGTACTTGGTTTTAGATTTGATATGCGGTCTCTTACCTTTGGCACAACTGATTCAAGGAGATATCCAAACTTTTCTTCATCTGAGATGGGTCTTTTATCGACTTGTGTGTGAGAAACATATTCTCAAAACGAACCCAATCTGCGGCAGTTCCTTTAAATGCAGTGATTTTCAGTTGAGGAAGTTTCGCTAGACTGCTTTTCGCAGATTTCTCCATTTCGATTTTTCTTTCCGTTATTTGCAGCTCAGCGGCGAACTTTTCCTCCCACATCAACTTTTCTCGCGCTCGTAATTCGATCAAACGTTGTTCATCCTTCTCGCGTTGCACATATTGTTTACGTCGCTCTGCTTCGTCGTCAATTTCCCTCTGCCTTTTTTCAAGAATTTGCGAAAGCTTGTTCATTTTAGGCACCCATTGCGCGTACTTATCCTTCGTGTCCTTTTTCCATTGTCGTATTGCTCTCTGAGTTTCAGCTCCTCGATCAATTTTAAGCTCTTGTACACTTGCAACAAGATTATTTACTTTGTCAAATATGGCGTCTGTTCGTTTCTTTACAACTTCGATCTCTGCGTAATCGCCTTCTTCAATAATATCGTCAATTGGCTCGAGATAGTACTTTAGTTTTTCGATTTCCTTGTCTATTTCAACCTCCTTCTGTTTTTCTGCTGCCTCCTCGCTCATTGTTATATGTTCCACGTCGTACAAATCGATAAATTCTCGTATTTACATGACCAAATAATGTGTTGTTGTCGTTAAATAACTCGTTAAATATTTAAATTACCGTTCGATTTTTTGTTCAATCCTTGTCACGGCACCACTTATATACCGAACTTCTCTTGTTAAATTGTTAACAGGTATACAACCACAGAAATCACAAAGACAAATTACATTTATTTGTATAAAAATATAGAATTTTCACGCTCACAACTCACTTGTTTTGTTTTGTCTCGTCTCACATAATCTAATAATAAACGACCCCCCATCAACATGCTCTTAATGTTTCTTTTATGCAAACGTCAATCATGCTTACGTCACTTATATGGGGGTCCACTATTCCGTAAATAATACATACACAAGCTAGGCTGGACACACTCTGTGACAACATCACAAACATTTATTCACAGTTGTTTTGATACTGACATGAAGATTTTATTTCATTTTGCAGCTGTGAAAATCATGAAAGGCAAAGACAAGACCAAGTTTAAAGTGAGGTGCAGTCGTTATTTATACACCCTGGTTATCAAGGATAAAGAAAAGGCTGACAAACTGAAGCAATCTTTACCTCCTGGTAAATATGAGTTTGTGATCTGCTCATTTATTAACCCATTGAGTGGCAGCACTTTCCACTTGACGAGTAAAATCATCTGGCAGTAGGCAGGTTTGATTTGCTGCGCCGTTTCGTGAGAAATGGAAATTCCACTGCTTGTGTCGTACCACGAACCCGCGCGTCTGAGTTGGAACCTGGGGCCATATATTTTTTAAGGGCTGTAGAGTTTATTATTTTGAATTTTTTCACAGTTGCCATGAGGGCAAATATCCCTACGCAGTTAACAAAATTAGCAGACTGGTGTCAGTGGTGTGTTCTAATGCACCCTACTCACTTCGCAGATATTACTATAGATAGTGTTTCCAAACGCCTACAAAAACTAAATGTCTCAAAAGCGACAGGTATGGATGGAATACCTGCGAATATTTTAAAACTGACATCAACCCTTATTGCTCCATCTATAACTTTTATATTTAACCTATCGATTAGAACTGGTATTTATATAGATGAGTGGAAATTAGCTAGAGTTATACCAATTTACAAATCTGAGGATAAGCGTAAATGCGAAAATTATAGGCCAATTTCAATTCTTCCCATAATAAGTAAAATATTTGAAGGGGAAGTTTTTACTCAAATATATAGCTTTATGAATAAACATGCGCTTCTGTCTAAATTTCAATCCGGGTTTAGACCAAAACATGGAACCTTAGGTGCTCTTATACAAATGTGTGATCAATGGCTACAAGACATGGATGAAGGCAAAATAAATGGAGTTGTTTTTCTTGATATATGTAAAGCATTTGACTCGGTGAATCACGAGATATTATTGGAGAAGCTTAAAACCCAGTTTGGAATTCACGACATTGAATTAAAATGGTTCCAATCATACTTAAGGAATAGAAAGCAAGTGTGTTCTGTTAATGATCAAACTTTTTCTGCAAGAACAATAATATGCGGAATTCCGCAAGGATCCATACTTGGTCCATTATTGTTTTTGCTATATATTAATGATATGCCTGATATTCTAGAAAGGACAACCCCATGTCTTTATGCCGACGACACTCAGATATCTTCCTCTTCGCATGATTACGATACATTGATTGACAATTTGAATATGGACCTTTCCAGTATTCATAAATGGCTTGCTAAAAACAAACTAAAATATCATAGGAAAAAAAACAAAAGTCATGTTTATTGGATCTACGCATAATCTAAATCATAAAATAGGAAATAGAGCCGTTGAGATTAACAAAATCCCAGTCCCACAAACCAATACATTTAAATGTCTAGGTGTAAATCTAGATAAAAAATTAAGTTGGGAGAAACATATTGATTCTGTATGCCATAAGATTAGCGCTGGAATAGGAGCAATTAAAAGAATAAAACCTTATGTTCCACACAAAACCTTACATGATGTCTACAAAACATTAATTCAGCCTCATTTTGATTACTGTTCTCCCCTGTGGGATAACTGTGGTTTGGGACTTCAAGACAAATTGCAAAAATTCCAAAATCGAGCAGCAAGGGTGATTACCGGAGCTGACTACGATGTACGATCGTCTGAAGTCCTAAACAAATTAGGCTGGGAAACCCTGGTTAGGAGACGAGAACAAAACAAGCTAGTATTGATGTATAAAGTCTTGGGGAACCACACTGCGCCAAACCTTAAAGATCTTTTTTCTCGGAGAAATGCATCGCAGAATATTTATGATTTACGCAATAGCGAAACTGATCTCTCGTTAAAAAAACCGAAAACGGAATTTCTAAAGAAAACATTTGGATACAGTGGAGCAATTCTATGGAATAGTTTGCCGCAAGATGTCAAGGCGGCTGAGTCAATTACGTCATTTAAAACAATGGCGAAATTGCATTTAAGCAGATGATAAGCTAATTTCTCCAGGACCAAATGATGGGAGGACAATATAGATTGTGGGCGGGAGGGGGGTTAGTTTTGCGTGAGGGTGGGTGGGTACTTGTTTAGGGTGTGGAGGTTTGGGAGGAAGATGATAAAATTTTAGGGTGGGATTCTTACATATTTTGTTCTATATATAATTAACATTCAGCTCTTTGTGTGTATACGCCCTTCGTGGAAACCAGTTGTAAATAATTGTCGAAGTTAGCGTATTGAAATAAAGTTTTACACATAGTAATCCCGAGTGACTGTTTACATGATGCAGCCGAGTAACTCGTCTTAGGGACCGGTCATTATTTATGGTGGGGGTGGCACCGAAGAGAAATGTTTTCCTGGTAAAAATGTTGCTGACCCAACCATTAGAAAGCAAAAAATTTGATTACCAAACCTCAAATATCAATTAAAAAATAAATACCTACCCTTGCCAAAACCTTTACAAAAGGATACCATTCAGTTGTCACACATGCCCTTTACCACTTCTGTGACACAAGTTTGATAACTAAACTTTCATGTTGTATGTACATGTACTTTCTTTGGAGACACCATTTGTCTAGCTCCCAACAAATCGGAAAATGATCAAGATAGTGACTCTGATTGATTTACATATTGTATTGACATACGACTGTTGACATTGATTTTCAGTCTCCAATATTTAAGTGAGTCATGCTTTGAAAATGACAATAACTTTTTATTACCCAACCCTTGAGTTGTTTTGTTTTTCATTTACCCAACCTTTTATTCACTCAAAATTTAGTTTACCCAACCCTTTTCTCTTCGGTGCTACCCCGGCCATAAATAATGACCGGTTCCTTAGCGAGTTCCTGGCAGAAAGAAGCGGGATCTCGCCTAGGCGGGATGAATATATTACCATGTAAACACTTTGCCCGGGTTCAAACGACTTAAATCCTTTTTGTGTGGCGCCATTTCGGCGTCGAGCGTCAATCATGCAGCAAATGGCAAATGAGTAACACGGTTCCATATAAACAGAGAGCGTTGTTTGTCCCGCCTGGGCGAGTAAATCGCCTTGCCACTACATTAAAGGCAATTTTCCATTGCAGTCGCTTTGCCCGCGCGGGCGGAGCGGGCTTTGAAAATCTGCTCACGCGGGCGTGACGGGCGTCAAAAACAATGAACGCTTCGCCCGCGAGGGCAAAGCGACTGCAATGGAAAATTGCTTTTAAGCCTTTTCCCATTGCAGTCGCTTTGCCCGCGCGGGCGGAGCGGGCTTTGGAAAGCTGCTCACGCGGGCGTGACTGGAGCAAAAAACAATGAACACTTCGCCCGCGCTGGCAAAGCGAACATTAATGGAAAACGGCCTTTAGTCTCGCTCAAGCGCGGCTAAAAACTTTCAAAATAGCCTATTACAGGCGAAACATTCGTCTGGGTGTTCACATTGGTTTTAATTTTATAATATAATAAACAATTCGAGACAATGAGTCAACGAATTAATTAACAAAAAATTTCAAAAAATCGAACGATTTTTCATACGTGTGTTTCATAGATCTCGCGTGTTTCCGTTGATTCCGCTGGTTCCGTTGGTTCCGCTGGTTCCGCTGGTTCCGCCGGTTCCGCGATTTCGAGGTGCCGGTGTATTTGTATTAAATGCCTAACAGCGCAATAAGGATAAAAATACCACCGTTCGATTCAGCGTTAGAAATTGTACTAATTACGGATGTGAAATGTACAGTATTACTAAACAACAGTATTCTGGCGATTTATGGAATTATGGCCTTTGTCTTTGAAAGCCAAGCGAAATTGTATTGTTGACAAATCGCTCAAATTTATTAAACTAATTATAAAAAAATGCAGTACGTTTGATCCTTGGTAACTTTGGTATCATTGGTTTTCTTTTTTTCGGCCGTATACCAGTGGATTCGTCTCACTTCTCTCTTCATTTTGATAGTATTTTGAGCCCAAAAGCCCCCAAGTATTTTAATATAACTTTACTTGTAGGGCCTACCGCATTTTAGTACTGTGTTAAACCTTTCGCGCCAGTATTCGACTTTTCCGCTTAGCTCGGGGAAAACCTTAAATCTTAATTGAAATAGCTGTGTACTGTATGTATCATAACTTCAACCCTTAACCAAGTCTAGTATAGCCCCAGCGAGTTGAGCTCCGTAGAGCGTCTTGTTTCGTTCAGACTTTTTAGTTGAGATACGTATGACTTTGCATTTCGTCGTATTAAACTCCATTTGCCATTTCAACTGCCATTGTTCCAGCTTAATTAATTCCAACTGCCATTGTTCCAGCTCCATAATCTCAAGTGTTGCAAAAGTTTTCGAAAAAATCGTATATGATCAATTTTACGAGTACTTGTCAGTGAATAATCTATTCTCGCATCAACAATCGGGATTTCGACCTACTTACAGCACTGTAACGGCTCTACTCGAATCGACTAATGACTGGTGCGTAAATATCGATAATGGTCTGGTAAATGGAGTTATTTTCATTGACCTAAAAAAGGCCTTTGATACTATTGATCACGAAATTCTTATAAGTAAACTTGAATGCTATGGAGTCGATTGCAGTGCTCTAGGCTGGTTTAAATCTTATCTGTCTGATCGTAAGCAAAGGTGCTTCGTGAATGATACACTATCCAGTAGCCGTTCTTATACTTATGGCGTTCCGCAAGGGTCAATAATTGGACCTCTCTTGTTTCTGGTCTACAGGGTGTATCAAAAAAAGCGCAATCCTCGACTGAAATGTAAATTGCTAAACAAATAATAGACAAACACGTTAAAGTTTACATTCATTTTAAAGCGTAGCCATTCAGCTTTCTAACAGTGGGTTGTTTCTTAAATTTGACTCATTGGTTCGCGGGTAATAATACTTTACGTTATTGCGATTGGAGATTAAAAAAATTGAGATGGAATAACAAATCGTTAATTCTCATGAAAATAACTGATTTTTTCATTAAAACAAAAAAATGTTACATTTTATTAAATGGATTGTAACAATAAGTATAATTACGGCTTTTCTTCCACTATTTTTAACTCAGATTGAAACTTCAAATGCGATATAATTTTGGCTTGGACCATCTAAGCTGTCTGACATCAACTTGCTATAATTTCTGTTTACATTACATCGCAATTCGATGACACTCTGGCTCAGACACCAGAATGTTTTGACGATTTTTAGCATTCGTTTAGGATTTTCAAACAACTTGCATGGTCTCTTTTAAAATACTTTTAATTTGTTCTTACGTGGTTTTCCAGATGTAGTGACGACAACATTAAAGTTTAAAGAAGAAAATTCTAACAGTTAAACCTACTAAACAATAACATAGTAAACTTGCATAATTAAACAGCAACTAAAAATGATAGGTTTTACTAAATCTTTTCCTGTGCAATTATTACTAGCATTGGAGACAAGGATAAATAGTTTGTTTGAAAGAGAAAAGAACAGGCTTCGAAGTAAGCCTAAAAGCGTTTAACTAGAAATAGTATTTCGAAAGTTATTAAGCACAAAAGATGAATTGCGTTTATTTTGATACACCCTGTATATTAATGATTTGCCAAATTGTATGAATGACGGTTTAGCAAGAATGTATGCCGATGATACTAACATAACTTTTCATAGCCATGATCTTTCTGAGTTGGAAGACGCAATGAATGCGGAATTGATCAATCTAAATACCTGCCTACAATCCAATAAATTAAGTCTTAATATTGCAAAAACCGAACTTATGGTCATTGGCTCCCGTCAGAGACTTGCAACCTTCAGTGAAACCAACGATTTAAATGTCTTTGTAGACAACGAAAAGATAAAAAAAGTTCAATCTACAAAGTCGTTAGGTCTAACAATCGACGAGCACTTAACTTGGAAAAACCATATCAATAATATTACCAAAAAAATTTCGTCCGGTATTAGTGCTCTTAAGCGCGTAAGACCTTTCATCAATAGAGAAACGGCTGTGAAGGCATAAAGGGGCCTGGTCAAGCCCTATTTTACTTATTGCTCTCCAGTTTGGAATGGTATTGGTTTAAAACTGGGTGAGAAACTACAAAAGCTGCAAAATCGTGCGGCTAGGGTAATGACCAGGTCCTCGTATGAGGTTTCGTCAGCATCCCTACTTTCTGAGTTGGGATGGAGTGTTTTGGCAAAAAATCCCATGAAGCAAAAAGCTATCCTAATGTACAAAGTTAATAATAATTGTGCTCCTCAATACTTGCAGCAGTTATTTACACCCAAAGTGAGCAATCATGATGTGAGAAATTCACTAAATAAATTGTCTGTTCCAAAACCTCGAACAGACTATTTAAAACGTTCGTTCAGCTACAGTGGTGTTTCCCTGTGGAACAGCTTGTCAGAACAGTTCAGATCAGCCCCTTCTCTCAATTCGTTCAAAGTCGAATTGACTAATTTCCTATAGTATACTGAGTATATGGACTCTTGCACGGCAATCATGTAAAACAGTAATTATTATTTTTATCTTTTGACTAACATTGTATATATTTAAATTTGTGTATTTATTCTTGCACTGATGATTCTTCCGTGTTGAAATAAAGTGTATGTATGTATGTATGTATGTATGTATGTATGTATGTATGTATATTGAGCGAGAAAACGTTGTCTAAACGACGGGGTCAAAATCACACAATGTAAACAAAATTTGAAACCAGAATTATAATTTGAAAGTTTAATGCAACATAAACATACGACTTTTATTCGACGATATCTGTGCGAATATTACAGGTACAATCATTTACGTATATTGTCAGATGAATTGAATTTGTATTGAATTTATTGCAAAATCTGAATGGCAGCTAAGAGCTGAATTGTACAGAGTTGACATTTAAAATACATGGTAAAACTAATACATATAGTAATATACGGTATATTAAAACTAAAATTTATATTACAATTAAAATGAATCATTATATGATACGATACTAGAAGGAATAAAACTTTTACCAAATCTTGTAGTCTTACAATTAATTAAGTTAATATGCTGATCATTACGCAGATTGTAAGTACGTAAGTCCCCGCGTTTATTAGGGATAAGTTCATTCAATTTATTTTCCGGGTTGAGAAGTCTCTTAAAATAGGATTTACATAAATTATTTTGTCTTTGAGAGAGCAACGATATTTCATGAACTTCCAAGGCTTTGCGGTATGACAGGTCAGGACATATTATTCGTAGGGCTAAGTTCCAAACCTGGCATGCATATTCAAGCACAGGTCGTATACATGTGGTATAGACTTGAATTAGAGAACTCCCTCCAAGACCGCTGCGTTTAAGCACTCGGAGAAAAAAAGTCTCCCTGATGCCTTGTATACTATGTGTTCAACATGTAAGTTCCAACTAAGATCAGAAGAAAAGTACAGACCAAGAACCTTTGCTGATAAAACTGGGGACATACAGTGATCTTTAATAAACAATGGTCGAAGATTAGGGACGTCCTTAGCGAACGAGATAATTAGCTCTTTGCATTCAGAACGATTAAGCATCATATCATTTTCTGTGCACCATTGATCGATATTATTAATAACGGATGGCAGGTTACTTTGACAACCTTTACCAATTGTTTCGGAGAGACTAGTGTCATCAACATATTTCCATCTATCTTTGTGGTTAATAGCCAAATCGTTGACCATGATGAGGAAGAGTAATGGGCCAAGGATTGTACCTTGCGGGACGCCTCCATTTACCAAGGAGCAATCAGAGAACGAAGAACCCAATTTCACCCTCTGTCTTCTTTGCATCAGGAAATCAATAACCCAGTTTATTAAGGATTTATCAATATTTAGTAATTGCATCTTTTTTATCAAGATTTTGTGGTTAATTCTGTCGAATGCTTTACTAAAATCAAGCAGAAAAACACGAACAGTCTCGCCATTGCCGTCTGTGTTAGAATACCAACAGTGAAACATGCTAATTAATGCGTCTATCGTAGAAGAGCCTTTTAACGATCCGAATTGCTTTGGGTCCAACTGAGACTTAATGGTATCCATAATCCATTGAAATGGAAATGATTCAAGAACCTTTGAGAGCGTGGCGGTCAGAGATATAGGTCGCAGGTCTGAAGATATATCCGTGACCGAGGATGTCTTAGGGACAGGAACGACATTTACTTCTTTCCACTGCATTGGAACTTGTGCTTGTTTAATGGATGCATTAAAAATCATTGTCACAGGTTCTGAAATCTCCATTGAAAAGTTATTGAGAATCCAATTTGGCAGAGAGTCTGGACCAGGAGCTTTATTCGATTTAACTGCTTTTAAACGCGATTCGACATCAACAACGGAGATAGGGTACAAAACAGTAGGTTCTTCCACAGATAATTTATCTGTAATTGAAAGCGGCGGTAACGATTTAGTGGCGGCTAAAAACCCGTTATTAACAGCGAGTGCTAAGTCTCGTCCCTGCAGGATAGTTCCATTCACCTCTGCAGAATGGAAGGCAGGCTTTAAAGAAAAGCCAGCTAGGTTTTTAATAGCACTCCACCATTTCCTTGGCTTTGAATTTTTAGATGATTCACTTGAGACTCGAAGTATTTAGACTTTGCCTGTTTCACGACGTGAATTACTTTATTTCGCAATTTGTTGTATTCAATTGTATTTCCCAAGGCAAAGGCCTTTTGTCGTTGGGAGATGAGGAGTTTGATTTCAGGGGTAATCCACGTACGCTTTGTCTCTACAGTGAAGTTTAACAGATTTTTGGGGGGAAATTGTATCCAGACCCATGAGAATAATGACATAAAACAGGTCACACATTTCCTGACAATCGGGTAGCTGCGAAAGTACATTCCAGTTAAGATCCAAAAGAAATCGACCAAATGCCTGCATATTTGATTGCTTCCGCTTTCTGACCCAGACTTTAGTAATGGTATTAGGGCGATGATTGTTACTAACGGGGTGTAACAGGACTGACATGTGATCCGATTGTCCAATAGCAGGGAGTATTTCAGGGTAATTGTAACAACATTTCATATTAGTAAATATTAAATCCAAAGTTGCATTCCCACGGGTACATTTCTTTACAATTTGTTTAAGTGACGTGTTTCTGCAAAGGCGTTTGGAGTCGAACTGGTTAAAGTGACCCATAACAATTACACCTGCTGTTGGGTAAGATGCTAAAATTTTGTCCAACAAGGTTATGAGGTGGTCATACAGTTCGTTATTATCGGCCTGTGGTGGATGGTATGTAAGACCAACAAATATGCAAAAATATTCCCGTGGAAGTCGATAGGGTCGCTGGTGAATCCAGCTACATTTTGGTACGAGCTATAATATTGTAGCTAGAGTATTGAGCGAGATTTCGTTGCCTAAACGAGGGTGTAAAAATTGCCGTCGGAATACACATTCTAGTCGGACAATATAATGTCTGGTTTTAGGCATGAGGTTCAACCGCTCATATTAATTCGAAATTTAACAACATACACCCCCAACGCGGATTGTTTGAAAGCTTATGAAAATGCCTACATTTTAGTTGAATTTATATTCAGGTTAGTAGAAAATTCGCCGAGAAAATGTTCGCAACAAACTGTTGTTATGCCACGGAAATTCAAAAATTGGAGCTTTCAAAATATATAGTTATAAACCTTTAAAGACACAGTTGAAACGAAAACTTATTAAAATTGAAACGGCCTATTTTGAAAATAATGATTTTCTTAAAAATCCGCCATTGTCCATTGATTTTGCGTCCTCGTTTCACCGACACCGTATAATTATCAAAATCGAGTTTCAAATCAACAGTAATCGGTATTGATAAATAGTATTCACTATAAAAACTAACCTTCACTGTGTTTCCTCCAGAATATTTAAAATAAATAGAATATCATCAGCCTTGGCAGCCTTGCACAAAATCCGATTTCTTGAGGTTGTTTATTAACAACTTAAACATTTGTAGTGATTAGGGTAAATAAACATCTATGTATCTACCTAATTTTTCTTGAAAGTAACTATTTAGAGCCTGGATGTACGTCTAGCAGTAAACACTAAACGTCACTATATTTGCTTTGTCACTATTTGTCATCGGTCAATGAATTTTTTAGCTCCATACACGCCATACACGCGATGTGACTTACGAAATGTTTGAATCTGAGTGTTTCATTTTATTCAAACTTGGTTTATTCTTTATTGTCGAAATATTCGGCGCTTCATTCTAACACAGATATACTCCGTTATAACCAAGACCATATATAGCCATTTCCTAGGGGGCATAGCATAGCTACAAGTAGCTACAGGCAATTATTGTGGCTTTTTTCCGAAGAAATAAACGATTTGCATGGGTTCACAATCCGCAATCTGCATCCGCAATCCGCAATCCGCATCCGTAATCCGCATCCGTAATCCGCATCCGCAATCCGTAATCCGCATCCGCAATTCGCATCCGCAATCCGCACTCCGCTACCCGTAAAGTCTACCATGCCCTTTTTTGTGGGTAGCCGCGCATGCGCAGCTAACCACTATGTGAGAGACTGAAGCGCGATCTTCCGTGGCTCTGTGGCTCTGTGGCGCTGTGGCGCTGTGGCGCTGTGGCGCTGTGGCTCTGTGGCGCTGTAGCCTTCGTGTCCGCGGTGTCCTGCTGCGCGGTTCCTTTTATCCTTGAAATACGAACCGTCTATAGACCACAGGCTAAGTTCACTAACGCTCATACCGTACAGAGATGTGTATAAATTCTTAGTAAAGTCTTTATTGTAATATGTTTTGTCAGGTCGATAGTCATTTCCAACGCATATAGAATCGAATATGTCGTTGTTTTTATAATCACTGCTTGTACAAGGGTCATTGGGGTTAATATTAGCGCAAGGGGTCTGTTTTATATCGTGTAATGTCATATTTAAACACGACATATCAGTTTGATCAAACATTTTATACGTATTAGAAAAATATAGCAATTAGTGATATAGCGCGCGACGTTTGGACATATTTACGTTAGTCTATATCGAAGGAATGTTGACGAATGACGAACATATAGGTATATAGAATCGAGTATGTCGTTGCTTACATAATGTTTGTAAGGCCACGTCATTGGAATCGGGTTAGTCGAATGTGTATTAAGGCAAATAGAAAGCCAAGCACGGTTTACACAAGGATTAAATTAGGCAGTGGAATATTAGCGCTTTTTTACTTAGGGATATATTTGTCGAATATTGAAAGCAAATTGAATGTCATTACCAATATATATGAGATCGATTATGTCGTTGTTTAAATAATTCAATCATCACTGTACTAAATAAATATATGTTGATCTTTTTCAAACTCCGCCGGAAAACATCGTCCTTAGATCTTTGCATGGACTATCCTTGAAACTCAAACTTCACGAAAATTGTATATACGCAGCCTGTAAACCTGATGCTTTGTCTTTGATGTATGCTGTCCTTGAACAAGAACTGTCGTACTGTCTGTATTTCGGCGTGTGATGTATTTTGTTTCGTATACATATTAAAGACCTTGTACTGTTCTGTCTGTTCAGTGTGCAAATTATTTTTGACACATTAAAATACTTTGTAACTTCTTAAATCTGTTTATGCTTATTGAAAAATGCACGTAACAATCGTTTACGTATTTTTGTCATATCTGATGTTCAGTATGTGATTAAATGTGTGTATAATATTTGAATTGTGTTCAATTTACTTAATACTTTCTTTCAGTAAATTCGGAATTTGACAACAGCAATTAAGTTATTAAGGTGGAGTAATATACTAATATGGGCAACAAAATTGCAGCAACTTGCAACAAAATCTGATTTCTGCGCATGTTAATTGAAATGTTTTGTCAACATTTCTACTTAAAATGCGTTGAAATCAGATTTTGTTGCAGAAATTTTGGCTGCAGCAATTTTGTTGCGCGTATTACTCCAAAGTCCAACCTCGGTATTACTCCAACTTTAACAACAATTAATGCAGGCTACCCACATGTACGCAGCGCGTACCTATTTTTTTATTTGCGTTGTGGCTTTTTATTTGCGTTGTCGCCTTTTCTTTACTTGGGTTGTGACTTTTTTTACTTGCGTTGTGACTCTTTTTTTTACTTGTGTCGTGACATTTTTACTTGCGTTGTGACTTTTTTATTTGCGTTGTGACTTTTTTTACTTGCGTTGTTAGTTTTTTTATTTGCGTTGTGACTTTTTTATTTGCGTTGTGAGCTTTTTTATTTGCGTTGTGACTTTTTTATTTGCGTTGTGATTATTTTTGTTTGCGTTGTAACTTTTTTATTTATGCGTTGTGACTTTTTTATTTGCGTTGTGATTATTTTTGTTTGCGTTGTGACTTTTTTACTTGCGTTGTGACTTTTTTATTTGCGTTGTGATTATTTTTGTTTGCGTTGTGATTATTTTTGTTTGCGTTGTGTCTTTTTTACTTGCGTTGTAACATTTTTATTTGCGTTGTGATTATTTTTGTTTGCGTTGTGTCTTTTTTACTTGCGTTGTGACATTTTTATTTGCGTTGTGTCTTTTTTACTTGCATTGTGACTTTTTTTTATTTGCGTTGTGTCTTTTTTACTTGCGTTGTGACTTTTTTATTTGCGTTGTGACATTTTTATTTGCGTTGAGTGTCTTTTTTATTTGCGTTGTGAGTTTTTTATTTGCGTTGTTGGTTTTTTTATTGACGTTGTGTTTTTTTTGTTTGCGTTGGGTCTTTTTCTTTTAGTGTTAGTTTCTTTTAAGCGATGGCCCTTTTGGGCCACCGTAATAATCCTATGAGCCATCTTTTCTGAAAATAACGCATAGCAGTTCGTAATAAGGCGCATTGCCTCGAATGCATACTTCTTAGCTCTCTTCCGAGACCTCGAATACAGCATTAAGAGTTTCCAGTTCCTTATCATACGCTC